CCCCAAAACCCCAAAACCCCAAAACCCCAAAACCCCAAGATATAGCTTCAATCTTGAGAGACGAGTAATTTATTTCAAACCTATGAATTCTTGGAGACCTAACATTTCGAGATCCTCTTTACCTACTCTTGTATCATTACTGATTTGCTCTTTAAGTTCAGAGATTTCTTGAACCCACTGGATTACTTCTGACTCTATCATAAGGTTTTCCTGAATCCAAGGATGTTCTAGTAATTCACTAGCTATAGCACGCTCTTGAGGATCAATCTTTAGACATTCCTTCAAGAAATCTTGCATATTCTCGCTAAAAGTGTCATCATTTGGTAATGTAGGAGGATCAGTGTTCAAGACAACCTCTCTCATTTCAATGAAAGTCTTACACAAGGGATAAGAGAACCTTCCCATTGCCATTTCATAGATTATCAAGCCTAAGCTCCAAATATCGCTTGGATAGGAGTAAGACTCACTGTTCATCCTTTCTGGAGACATGTAAGCAAGAGTTCCTACAAAGCTCTTTCAAATATTCAAAGTGTTAAACAGTTGTTTGCTGATGCCAAAATCTGTCAACTTGAACTCCCCTAAACTGTTGACTAGAATATTTTCAGGCTTCATATCTCTGTGTATCTGATGCCTCTTCTTATGCAAGAAATCTAAAGCCTTGAGAATTTGGTATGTTCATCTTCAGATTACAGATTCTGGAAGAAGTGGAGTCTGGTCTGGAAATTGATTTCTGATAGTATCCATGAAACTTCTGAGGCTTCCGCAATTCATATATTCTAGTACAATTCTGACTCGCCCATTATGATAATATGATCCATAGAACTGCACAAGATCATCTCATTGCATACCATCATTGAGGCTACTAAGCTCGTTAAGCAATTGTTGGCGTTTTTCCTTGTCATACACATTCAAACTCTTAATAGCCAATTGTGTTCCGCTTGGCTCATGGGTGGCTAGATGGACGCTGCCGCCAGAGCCATAACCAATCTGCTCTTTGAAAATTATCTCTTCTGAGTCGATAAATCCGTAATTTTCACCTGTGACCTCATTTATAATTCCATTATTCATGATTTTTATGCCTGCCCTTTTCAACTGGACTGCTTTACCAGTGACTTCGTAGGAAGCAGAGGCTGACATACTCATGTCACTGCCAATACAGTCAAGTTGTAGATTTTTCTTCAAGAAAGATGGCTTCTTGAAACCGCCCTCTTCTCCACTATCCTCCATATTTTTGGGTTACAATTTAAATAAATAGATTAGGGGTTTTGGGGTTTTGGGGTTTTGGGGTTTTGGGG